ACTGTAACTATAATTGAAAGTGAGCTTAATATTTAGGTTGTTATAGTTTAGAGTGGTAAAAAAAATTGAGTAGTGAAGAGTCATCGCCATCCCATAGCAACACTATATCGTCTATGTAGCGTCGGTAAAAACGCAAATGTGGCCACTCCATGGAATATATCACCTCCTCCTCCTCCCATCTTGCCATAAAGATGTTTTGCTAGGCTAGGAGCGAATTTCGCGCCCATTGCTACGCCTGTGGTCTGCAGGTAATACTTATTATCAAACCAAAAGTAATTGTGCTTCATTGCGAAGCTTAATAGTTCCAATAAATATTGCTTCTGAATGTGTGGTATGTCTATGGCCTCATTCAGATAATATTCTGCCGCTTCTAAACCATCTGCATGCTTGATATTACTGTAGAGAGAAGCAACGTCCGCCGTTACCAGAAAAAGTAGGCTTCTCTATTTTAATGTCCATGATCTCAACCAGGATTTGTTTTGAATCCCTCAGGAAAGATGGCGTGTTGCGCACTATTGGCTGTAGGAAACAGTCAATATATTCACCAACCCGGGAGCACAAGGACCCTATGCCACTCACAATGGGGCGACCTGGAGGGTTAATTGGGTCCTTGTGGATCTTGGGCAGGCAGTACAAGACCGGAAGTCTGGGTACCGTAGGGCACAAAAAGTCACGCTCTTTTTTATTCAGGATTCCCGAATCGGATCCCCTTTTTATCAGAACCTTCAAAGCTTTTTTGTATGACAAAAGAGGGTTACTCGGAAGTTCTAAATAGGTGTCTTTATCCTGGAGGATATTCTGCACTTGCATTAAATAGTCTGATTTATTCATGACCACAACTCCTCCCCCTTTGTCCGCTGGTCTGATTACCAACTCCTTTTCCTTTAATAATACATTGGTCATCATGTTAATCTTGTCTTGGTTAAATGACTTATTGTACCGTTTTTTTACCCGTATATTATCAAGATCTTTAAGGACCATATTTTTAAATACATTGATATATGATTGTGCCTGGGGGTTAAACAAGGACGCATTCTTGAGATTGGTGTTCTTGAAATTAGGGTTACTCACATTGGATGTTACACTTGTGATAGGTTTATTTAGAAAATGTCTCTTCATCGCAAGTCTCCTTACAAACTTGTGGATGTCTATAAAAGTATTAAATTTGTTTAGTTTAGCCGGTGGAGCAAATTTTAGTCCTTTGTTTAGAAGTTTTAGTTCTTCATTAGTGAGGATCTTATTGCTGAGGTTAAAAATGCCTGAGCTATTTAGGTTTTCCTTCTTTTGTCGGTTAACCCTTGCTCCTCCTCGTTTTCCTCTCGTCCTAGACCCCTTTTTCGTCCTGAGCCCTCCCCTAAAAAAATGATGTTGGTTTAGGGTATTGGGTGGTTGTAAGTTAGCTCCATATTGTGAGTATCTGTAATTGGAGGAGGGGGACAGTCTATGTTGATTTGGGAACTGTCTACCCTGTTGTGTCTGGTAACCCCTTCCATGGGTGTCCGATAATTAGGACTGTTATAATGGTCATAAGTATGTCTGTCATTGCGTTGATTCCATCCGTCATCATAGTCATCCCTAGAGTGAATATAGGACGGAACTCTTGGACGGAAATTACTTTTTTGTTGCTGATGAGGTCTGGATATGGCATATTGTTCCTGATGATTCAAGGGATGTGACCTCATATCCCTGTTGCCTATATTAGGACTTGGGTGATGTCTAATGGCATCAAACCTATTATGAGTGGAAATGTTTATACTCATAATTGGGTACATTCTCCGAATTCGGGAATCCTGAATAAAAAAGCGCGTGACTTTTTGTGCCCTACGGTACCCAGACTTCCGATCTTGTACTGCCTGCCCAAGATCCACAAGGACCCAATTAACCATCCAGGTCGCCCCATTGTGAGTGGCATAGGGTCCTTGTGCTCCCGGGTTGGTGAATATATTGACTGTTTCCTACAGCCAATAGTGCGCAACACACCATCTTTCCTGAGGGATTCAAAACAAATCCTGGTTGAGATCATGGACATTAAAATAGAGAAGCCTACTTTTCTGGTAACGGCGGACGTTGCTTCTCTCTACAGTAATATCAAGCATGCAGATGGTTTAGAAGCGGCAGAATATTATCTGAATGAGGCCATAGACATACCACACATTCAGAAGCAATATTTATTGGAACTATTAAGCTTCGCAATGAAGCACAATTACTTTTGGTTTGATAATAAGTATTACCTGCAGACCACAGGCGTAGCAATGGGCGCGAAATTCGCTCCTAGCCTAGCAAACATCTTTATGGCAAGATGGGAGGAGGAGGTGATATATTCCATGGAGTGGCCACATTTGCGTTTTTACCGACGCTACATAGACGATATAGTGTTTGCTATGGGATGGCGATGACTCTTCACTACTCAATTTTTTTACCACTCTAAACTATAACAACCTAAATATTAAGCTCACTTTCAATTATAGTTACAGTAGTATTGATTTTCTGGATCTCACCCTCATTAATGACGGTACCAGAATTACCACCAAAACCTTTTTTAAAGGTACAGACAGGAATGGGTACATCCCAAAAGACAGTTGCCACTTGCCTAGGTGGCTGGATAATATTCCTAGGGGACAATTCCTTCGGATAAGGCGGAACTGTGGTGCTATGCAAGACTACATTGCACAATCCAACATTCTTAGAACTAGATTCATAGAAAAGGGCTATGACAGCCAACTATTGGATATGGAGATTGACCGAGTGGCTAGTCTGGACAGGGCCAACCTGTTAACTACCCAACACAAGACCAATAAAGAGATTTTCTGTCCTTTTACAACTGCCTTCTCGATGCAATATAAAGAAGTTGCCACTATCATTAGGAAGAACTGGAACATTCTTAAGAACGATCCGGTGATGTGTAAAGCCCTACCGGAACACCCAGAAATCATCTATAAAAAAGCACCAGCATTAAGAAACAGACTAGCCCCCAACGTTGTCAATCCTCCTAAGCAATTGACGTTTGATTTTCTGAATAGAAAAGGGTTTTTTCCTTGCAACAGATGTATGATATGCATTTGTAATGGCATTCACAAGAACCCGATAAAAAGCTTTTGTTCAAATGCTACCGGTAGATCATTTGACATTCAGTTACTATTACGTGCTACAGCTCCTATGTTGTCTACCTTCTGGAATGTAGTTGCGGGAAGCAATATGTCGGTAGAACGACAAGGAGACTGCGAGACAGGCTGAGGGAACACCTGGTCAATATTAAGAAAGGTTACAAGGAGCACTCCTTGTCTATGCATTACCGCCAGCGACACAACAAGAATCCACACTCCCTGCGATTTGTGGGTATAGATATCATCAAAAGTAACTGGAGAGGTACCCACAAAAAACGCGCGGTCTCTATGCTTGAGACCAAGTGGATTTATCTTCTACAGTCCCAAGCTCCACAAGGACTAAATGTAGAATTAGATATCAATTGTTTTATCGATACCAGCTGATCGATCTTTAAGCACTTTTCATGATCTCACTTCTTAATCAGATTACTTTTACTTTGCCTTTATCTGTATTTCCATTCGAGTGTTTAGATCGTTTTTAAAAAGTCGATGCACCTTTATCTCTTGATCGCTTTAACATATTCGATGCACCATAATCTCAGTACATTTGGTTTTATAATTGTATATTTCATGGGTATTGCTTTTAACCAGATGTTTTTTAATCCACATGTTTGTCATATTTGATGTATTTGGTTTTTATTCAGTGCCAGAATCACTTCATATATGAGATCCCACTCATTTATATTTTTATAACCTTGCCTTTCACCAGGCCGTTTTTTGCTACAAGGGGGCACACAGTATGGTCCACGCATTACTATACTTGCCCCGTGCGTTTTTAGGATTGCAGTATCTTATTCCCAGTAAGATCACTGCAGAACCAACACCTTTATGTCCATACATTCATGTCGGTCTTCTTTAAAATGGCCGCCGCGGACGCTACTGCGCATGCGCGAACGGCCGATCGCTACTGCGCATGCGCGAACCGGCAATAACGGTGCCGCCGCATTGCGGTGTTTTTGACGCCTTTTTAGGTTTAAAACACCACACTTAACACTGGCACAGTCCCCTCTGATGATGTGTACTTACACGATACGCGTTAGGGAAGTGCCAAGCTATGTTTATCTTATGTACATGTACCTCCGGTCTGGCCGTTTATAAGCAGCTGTACCTTTGCTAAGTAAGTTCTTTTCTGATTGTTCAATTTTAAATAAACGTTATCACACTATTTGAGGCCTTTTTCCACGGGCTCTTTATTTTGGGGAGCCTGTAAATCCAGTAGGTCCTGGGATTGTGCCTAACAAGAACACATCTGCAGTGACGTCCCTGGATCCGTGATACAGTTTCCCCTGGAACCGATGACATCCAGTGGTCACCCTACAGACAACACCCACCTGATCCATCAACACAGTGGCTGAACACAGCTTCCATCCGGACAGATGACATCTAGTGGTCACCCTATAGATGACACCGCCTTGCTCCAGTGATACAGTGGCTGAGTACCAGGGACAGGTCTTAAATGTCCCATGCGCTTTAACTTGCGCTATCTGGTCAGTGCATTACTTGGCTTTTCTTTATCATTTCTGATATCTACTATCCCTGGCTCTTCAAGTGTTGGAGACTGTATACGTATTTAGCACATTTGATGAACTGACGCCGTCTTTTTTGCCGATCCACATTCAAATGGGATCTATCTTATGTGTAATCATTGTTTAAGTTAGCGCTGCACTTTCATATTTTACCATATCTGATATCATGTCTGGGGTCAATGTACAGAAATGTACAGGCACACATGTCTCTCCACATTCTACTACAAAGGACAAAGGTCCCATCAATGGTCAACCATCCAGGCCAGATCCCCAACCCTCCCCCACTGGAGGACCAAATATTGGGGCTGTACAGCAAACACAAGAGGTGTCGGGATTACAGACATATTACTGGATGTGAGGACAGCTGGTAATGGTCTACATATATCAGATGACGAGAAAACTGCATCCTACTCATCAGATCAGAATTGGCCAGAAACACCAGAGAGATTCCAGGATTATCCTCAGGTGATGAGCAGTCAGAGCTTCTCCTCCGGGAGACATTACTGGGAAGTGGATGTCGGGGGGCAGCATCCTGCAGAGTAGGGATGTGTTACCCCAATATAGACAGGAGAGGAGATCAGTCAGTGATTGGATATAATAAGAAGTACTGGGTGTTGGAGAGGAGGGCGTGGTTGCAGAGGTGGGGGTTGTTGGGTAATCAATGCTCAGTGATACATGACAGTAATAGGACCCGATACCCTGGCGGTGCCTCCAGTACCAAAGTCAGGATAGATCTGGATTATGAGGCCGGGCGGATCTCCTTCTATGATCTGTGTGACCCGATCCGACACCTCCACACCTTCACCACCACCTTCACTCAGCCCCTCCATGCCGGGGTATGGTTAGGGGGAGGTTGTATAACGATATGTGGGAGGAGCCAGAAGTGGGAGATCCGCCCAGAGACTCCAGAAGGGGGATGATCTGATTGGTGATTGGTGCAATCCTCAGCCAATAGGAGGAAGGGCAGGAAACAGGAGTGATTTGTGGAGAAAGCTGCAGGTTCCAAGGCCATCATCTTCATCCTAAACCTCACTTCACTCCCTAGTGTGTCACTGACCAGGAACAAGCATGCAGGAGGTCAGAATGTTCCACCTTCGCTGGCTGCATGCTTGTCACACTTATTTTTGACAGTAGCAATAAAATGACAGTTGAAAAACGAGGTTTTTTTGACAGTTAAAAAATGACAGTTGAAAATTAGATGTTTTTTTCAGCTGACAAAATATAACGATTTTTTTTAAATTACAAAAGAAAATAATTTTTTAACTGTCAAAAATAACTGTCATTTTTGCCACTGTCATTTTTCAACTTACAAAAAAAATCCTAATTTTTCTGCTGTCAAAAATATAAGTTGTGTTTCAACTGACAAAAAAAACCTCATTTTTTGCCACTGTCAAAAAAACCTGTAATTTTTCAGCTGAAAAAAAACCTGTCATTTGGGAACTGTCATAAAAAACTCTTTTTTAAATGTGATTTTTTTTTTCACTGTCAAAAATGATCTGCATTTTATTGTCACTGTAAAAAAACCTGTCATTTTTCAATTGTTCAACTAACAAAAATTAACTGTAATTTTTTCAAATCTCAAAAAAAAACCCTCATTTTTTCAATTGCCATTCTTTCACTGTCAAAAATTAAGTGTCATTTTTTGCTACTGTAAAAAATTAACTGTCATTTTCAAATGTCGAAAAAACACTAACTTTACAACTGTCATTTTATTGCCACTGACAAAAAACTCTGTCATTTCTTGCCACTATAAAAATATAACTGACATTTTTCAACTGTCAAAAAACACTAATTTTTCAATTTCCATTTTTCCCACTGTAAAAAAATTAACTGTCTTTTTCTACTGTCAAAAAAATAACTCCTTTTTCAACTCACAAAAAAACTGTCATTTTTCAACTGTGAATAACAACTGTCATTTTCCAACTGTCAAAAATAACTGTCATTTATTATGACAAAAATAGCTGTCATTTTTCAACTGTCAAAAATAACTGTCATTTTTTTTCAACTGTTACTTTTCAACTGACAATAACTGTAATTTTTTGACTGTCATTTTCAACTGACAAAAAAAAACTGTCATTTTTCAACTGTCAAAAAAACTTGTTTTTTATGACAAAAATAGCTGTCATTTTTTAACTGTCAAATATAATTGTCATTTTTCAACTGTCAATTTTCAATTGCCATATTTTCCACTGTCAATATAGCTGTTATTTTTCAAAAAACAAATTATGTCAAAATTATTTTGACAAAAAAAACCTGTCATTTTTCAACGGTCAAAAACCCTCATTTTTCAAATTGCCATTTTTTTTCCACTGTCAAAAATTAACTGTCATTTCTTACTACTGTAAAACATTAACTGTCATTTTTCAACTGTCAAAAAAACCACTTATTTTTCAACTGTCATTTTATTGCCACTAACAAAAACCCTGTTATTTCTTGCCACTATAAAAATATAACTGACATTTTTCAACTGTCAAAAAACACTCATTTATCAATTGCCATTTTTTTCACTGTAAAAAATTAACTGTCATTTTCAACTGTCAAATATAACTAATTTTTCAGCTGACAAAAAATAACTGTCATTTTCAACTGACAAAAAATAACTGTCATTTTTAACCACCTACCTACCGGGCACTTTCCCCCCTTCCTGCCCAGGCCAATTTCCAGCTTTCAGCACTGTCGCACTTTGAATGACAATTGCGCGGTCATGCAACACTGTACCCATATGAAATTTTTAGCATTATTTTGTGACAGACAGAGCTTTATTTTGGTGGTATTTAATCACCTCGTGTTTTTTTATTTTTTGCTAAACAAACCAAAAATAACTGAAAATTTTGAAAAAAAAAAATTTTTCTTAGTTTTTGTTATAAAATTTTGTAAATAACTGATTTCTCTCCTTCACTGATGTGCGCTAATGAAGCTGCAGTAATGGGCACTGATAGGCTGCATTGATGGACACTGGTAAGTGGCACTGATGGGCATTGACAGGCATCACTGATGGGCACTGATAAGGAGGCACTGGTAAGTGGCACTGATGGGCATTAAAAGGCAACATTCATATATGTCACTGATGGGTGACACTGAAAGGCAGCTCAGGTGGGCACTGATATGTGGCAATGATGTGGCACTGATGGGCACTGACAGATGGCACTGCTGGAGATACACAGATCATCAGGCACACTGATCATCAGTGCCCTGATGATCAGTGCAGATGTCCCCTCCGAGGAATGCCGATTACCAGCTCTCCTCTCCTCTCCTCTGTCAGTGTGACAGCTCGTGAAGAGAGAAATGCTGATAACCGGCATTTCCCTATTTACATGCGATCAGCTGTGATTGGACACAACTGATCACTTGACCGAGCTGACATCTTCGGCTCTTTCCATTGATCGGTGATCCGCTGTGTCCAAGGGATACACCCACACCACCAATCGCCGCACTGTGCGCTCCCAGAGCCATGCATGCGAGGTTAGAGTGGAATGATGTCATATGACTCCTCCCAGAATGAGAGAACCGCCTTGCGCCCATCGTTACCTTATATGGGAGGTGGGAGGCGGTTATACTGTCAACAAAACCCAAATTTTTAAACTGACAATAATAACTGTCCTTTTTTAAACATCAAAAAATCCCCTGATTGTGGGCGTGTCCAGAGCAGTCTGATTGGCTGCATCCCCACCCAGCTCTGCTGTACTCACAGTTCCAGCACACAGCAGTGGGCGGAGCTGACACCCCAAAAGCGACCAGAGGAGAGGCAACAGCCCGGTGACCCTCAGGGAGATGACAAAGAAGAGGAAAGCTGAGAGGAAACTCCTCCCCTCGGCCGGATGCCAGCCATCCCCAACATGGCAGAAGCAGCAGCTCAGGATCCTCCTCCTCTCACTCAGCACACAGCTTCTCCTCTGACACCTTGTTAAGCAGGTGTCAGTGCTCTCTCCTCCTGCAGCCGGTCTCCTCTGCTTTCTCTAAGTGTAGAATGACAAATATGAGCCCACAGCATGCTGGGACAGATTCTCCCACTAATACTTCCCATTCTGCAAGTCATTTCTCCCATCCAATGGGTAAGTCTCCTCCTACTAGTCCGCCTATTTCTCAACCATTCATGAAGGAGATATCATCCATACCGTCACCTATCATTCACTCTGCAACCAATCAGAGATGAAGGATCTCCGCCACAGAGCTGACCATGTTGGAACAAAGATGGGAGAATCCGCCCCTTCCTTTACCACCCTAGTAGACACACCCACCACCAAAGGGATGAAGAAAGGGATTGGCTGAAACATAAAGTGTCAGCTCTGGAGGATAGATAATAGCGTCAACACAATATCCAATAAGAGGCATTCCAGAATCCATCCAACCCAACCAATTGGGAGCCGATCCCCGAGAGCTCTTTCCTGGCCTCCTACCTGAGGCTACAAACCCAGATGTGACAATGGATGGAATCCATGACCTTCCCAAACCCTCCTATGTGACACCTAAATCCCTCCACATGTCTCCATGACAACTCATTGTTGTCACCTCCAAGAACGAATCCCGAAAATGGCGCCCAAACCCTCCTATGTGACACATAAATCCCTCCACATGTCTCCATGACAACTCATTGTTGTCACCCCCAAGAACGAATCCCGCAAATGGCGCCCAAACCCTCCTATGTGACACCTAAATCCCTCCACATGTCTCCATGACAACTCATTGTTGTCACCCCCAAGAACAAATCCGGCAAATGGCGCCCAAAACCTGCTATGTGACACCTAAATCCCTCCACATGTCTCCATGACAACTCATTGTTGTCACCCCAAGAACGAATCCCGCAAATGGCGCCCAAACCCTCCTATGTGACACCTAAATCCCTCCACATGTCTCCATGACAACTCATTGTTGTCACCTCCAAGAACGAATCCCGCAAATGGCGCCCAAACCCTCCTATGTGACACCTAAATCCCTCCACATGTCTCCATGACAACTCATTGTTGTCACCTCCAAGAACGAATCCCGCAAATGGTGCCCAAACCCTCCTATGTGACACCTAAATCCCTCCACATGTCTCCATGACAACTCATTGTTGTCATTGTTGTCACATTAGCTGCCAGTTTCCCAGAGCTAAAGGATACTAAAGCATATACAGTGAGAAACAGAAGTATTTGAACACCCTACGATTTTTCAAGTTCTCCCACTTAGAAATCATGGAGGGGTCTGAAATTTACATTGTAGGTGCATTCCCACTCTGAGAGACAGAATTTAAAATAAAATTCAGGAGATCACATTGTATGATTTGTAAAGAATGTATTTGTCTTGCACTGCTGAACAGAAGTGTTTCAACACCTAAGAAACAGCAAGAATTCTGTCTCTCAAAGACCTGTTATTGCGCCTTTAAAAGGTCCACCTCTACTCCACTCATTCATCTAACTTAGTAGCACCTGTCTGAGCTCTTTAAAGACACCTGTCCACCCACAGTCAGTCAGATGCCAACTACTACCA